ATTAACATTCCGTTTTAACAAATTATTAATTATTGTACTGCAATGTATCATTAAATATCATTTATTTTTTAATTTATTTATTATTGTGTTTTAATTGGTTAATATTATTATATTATTGTTTTGTTTTGAATAACTAGTTGTTTCCACAAAATTACCCTTTTATTCATTAATGATTATATTTTTGAATATCTTTAAGCGAAATAATTACGTAATGCGTGTATTGTTTACTTTCTTAACGGTCTTTCTGTGGAATCAACCATTATAAAAATTATATAAACTAAATGGATAACGGTTATCAATGGCATATTTACAACGTAACAACTTGATATATACTAAAACATTATATTACAAAAAAAAAACATAACATGCAATTCTACATTGATATATTAAATGAAAAACATACATCTTTTTAATACATAATCAAATCCACAATTTTTTTTTTTACTAAATCGATGTTTGTGTGGTGATAGGATATTATAAACATGTGGTTTACCGTTGACTGTAAATAGAGAAAAGAGACATACTATAATTGTTGTAACATGTGGAGACTCTTTTTATGCGTGTTTCGTGTTGCTGACGTTTGAGTGCACTGGTGTTTACTAAATGTTTCTCTCTAATTTAAAAGTACCAATGGACAAGTGATAGTTTAAATTAATGATATTTACATTTTGGTAACTAAATTTTAAATTTTACTTGAAAAATATTTAGTTTATTTCGAATCATAAACCGCACACTTAAGATTAAATCGCAATTTTAATCGCTCTTTCCGAAGAAATAGCTTTAAGTTCATCATAAAAAGCTTTAATTTATCTTTGATTTTCATAAAGCTAGACATAATAGTTTGGTTTTAGCACGCACTAAATTTAGATTCTCAGGTATGTATATACTTCCTGGTGCTTTGATATGAAAAATATCACATTTTTAGGATATCCTAAATTAATCTATCAAAAAGTCTTACAAAAGAATTGGGAAGAAATGTTATGAAAATGAATAACGAAATGAACAAAATGATTTGTGGACCAATGCCACAGAGAACTTTTGAATTTGAAAAAGAAAACTTATTCGGCAAAAAAACTTACGTTTAAAGACTAATGGAGTTTTGATCAGAAATTTACAGCGGAAAAAGTATACTAAAACTTTGTGGAATGAAGAAAGGTATAGTGTTCAGAAAAATAGTACTTAGTAAGTAAATTGATGTTCAAATTCGGGGTTTTTAAATTGGCATAAGATTGCAAAAGTTCTACAAGATTTTTTTTTTACTAAAGAAAGCCATTTTGTAAATATTTTTGTCTAATTTAATTATTCGACTGTATTCGGTAAGAGCTTTGACTATTAATACAATTCATTCATCAATACTTCAGTAGCCAATAGTTAATAGTAAGAGTAAAAAATGAACAATGATTTTCAATTACTTAAGTTGAGAAAAAGTACTAACGTACGAGTAGACCTATAATAAGTATAAATAAAATTGATACAATTTGTTTACCTCAATTCCCTTTTTTTTAAGATTGCACTTTACTCGTTGTTGTTTTTGTTTTAGAAAAAGAATATTTATTGTTTTACATAAACAAACTTTGAAAACTATAAACGTTTTCTATTTTATATTGTTATCAAAAGCTATCCGTTTCAATTTATCCAATAAGCGTAAACATAAACCGTTCCAGTCCATAGCAATTTTGAAACATTAATATCAAAATCGTTCGACAGATATGATAATTTAATGCAATAATAACCATTTGAGAACGGACCTAATCTCCGTAAATACTCGTTCGGTTTGTTTGGCGTGGATTGTGGATTTGTACGGCAAAATAAACACCGCGAATTAGATTCGGATTAAACGGATTGTTCTACTGCAGTTTAGACGTTTCAAACACTTTTTATATTTCTTTCATAGCTATTTTTAAAATTTTGTTTTTCTTATAAATACTCTGATGGTTTTTTTAGCATTTATCTTTACCTAAATACTATTCAACTCTTAAAATGTTTACCAAATATTATCAATCTTTTACCCGTGATAAAATATTACCTCTGGTTGAAATTTGAATCACATGAGCCTAAAATTATATTCTTATAATTTTAATTTTAATTACAATTGAACACATTTGAACCAATATTTGCGTTTAAAAAGATCACTTTACAGTAATTTAAATGGTAATAATAGGGAGATTAATTATTTAACCAAAATAAGGAAAATTATACTAAATATGTATTGCATGCTCCAAAATAGTTTTTAATAGGTTTTGTCAACATTTTCTGTTATGATTATATGATAAATAACCGCTGGTATATTTAAATCATACATTCCACAAGCCTACTAATATGATGCACGTGTGGTATCATTGATTTAAATTACTAGGTCTACAATTAGTTTACTCGTGACCCCCAATCAGTTGTTCTCAACAATATAAACAGTTATGTGATTTAAATGATTTACATTGACATTTAAAAATTTGGTATAGTGAACAATTAATAGCAAGTTTGGTAGTTATTTTTAACGCTTCATCAATGTATTTTTTAAGCGCAAAAATGTTTTTGTAAAAACGTTTAGTGGGAGAAAAATAATGTAAACAATCGTTTGTTTAGAAAAACATAATAATATATTTAAAAACAAATATGTACTGTAAGTTAGATTAACTCAACATAAATAAGTAATGGCACTGTCATTAAATGCAGCCCTGTGTAATTTGAACAGCAGCTATTTGACTTTGATTAGATTGTTGTTAATTAAAAACATGATGAATGACAATGGTGTCGACAATGAATGTTTCGTTTGCATAAATAATTTTGCAACGTACAGTATCATGGTCATTTGTTATAAAAACATGGCTTAGAACTTAGTACGATACAATCAAAGCGATAGTTAAGCCACTGAAATCATTCCATAAATCTATATTTAGAGTTGTTAATAATTGATAAATCAAATATATCATACAAAGATAATAACATCTTTATGACAGTGAGAATTACCAAAATGTCTAGAAACTTGATGAAAATAGCTATAAGTCGACCTAAATTCTAAGTCTCGAGTTGTTACCAATAAGCTGTCAAGAGCAAAAGTCAAGTTTGACAGGTTTATGAAGAATCCTAAGTTTAGAGGACCGAACGACAAATCACTTAAATCGTTGTCAGAAAATCTTTCAAAAGTTGGCCTATGTTACGTTACGTACGTACGAAACCGTAATTTTTTTAACGCGACTAACAGTGTTTTGTAAATATGGCTATATTGATAATAATGTAAATAAAAAAGTTCGCCATATAAATTTGGAAAAGACATTGTTAGAAAATTCACTCACCTTGTAAACCGTAATCTGATAAATTGTATCATATGTTATAAAAATAATATATGGTTCCAAGCTATGCCTAACATTGGCCCTATTATTTGTTCTATTTGTATAAATGTATACAAATATATAACCGGAACTTTCGTAAAATATCACTTACGTACAATTTTTGCTATGACTATGGAATACAAACATTTAAAACATAATCTAAGTGAAGGTAAAAGGATATGTACATTGTCAACTTTAACAATTTCTTCCCATGTATATAAATGTAAAATTGTATAAGCAGGCAAACTGTAAAATCAAAACTATAAATACAATAAATTTTGATGATGTACCAAATATACTTCGTAATATATAGTTTATCATTTAATGGAAAGAGTGAAACTACATTCTAAATGATCACGATATGCAGTGGTAATATGTTACAAGTGTAATTGTAATTTATCTATACATCGTTCACGTCACTGTATTAATATCCATTACCACAACCTAATTACGTAAATTCATTAACTTTCCCCCGTCTAACATAATTACTTTCATTCACTGATGGTATTTTATTTAACTAACCAATAATTTGAAAACGCCCCTTTTAAACCGTAAACCATGTCCGCATTTTTTTTCGTTTTTTCCTTTACTCGCGCAAGCAATTAACTTGGAAAAATAAGTATTAAAAAAAACTTTTTTAATCCAGTTTTTAACAATTTTTATGGCAGAGATCTGATTAAATACATGCTATTTAGTTACCCCTGTTTTTGAAATGAAATCATTCATTTGTAATATCAATAAGAAGGTACTAAAGAATTGTGTGCTAAACAGTTGGGTTGGAAAGAATGATTGCTACGGTGAATAAGCCAAGGTCCAACTAAGGTAAATGTTTAATTTACTTGTATTTAATGGGATACGTTTGCGTCGCATGCAATATTTGCCATATCTTTCTGTTAGGTATTACGTAGTAGCCAACAATCGTGATGATCTTCGGCAATAAACCAATACCCAAAACAAGCAAGGTATGGTGAAATATATGCATCTTGAAAATTAAATACATGGGGTAAATTATTGCAGTACACTTTTAAGTATATTATAGTTAGTTCTTCAAAGGTTAGTTGTGTAATTAAAATACGTGATTTGGGTTATCAAAAAAGAATACCAGTTCCCTTTAACATAATGTTTATTACATCTAAGTCATCTTAATAAATATAATGTCGCAATGATTTAAGCAGGCAATCAAACACCTCAGGTAAAAGGTATCATCAATTAAGACATTAACAACTATTACTATTTATATCCTTTTTGTTTACTGGTAAGGTCATTGTCACTGTATTGATGGAAACCATATTTGCAATACCTTAGGAGCAAACTTTGTTATGTAGGGTTACCATAAGTAGTATTAACATTACAATAAAATAGTACCATATTTATCTACGTTTTTGGACACGAAAGTCATGATAAGTAAATATTGTGGGAACTAAAAAAAACATAAAATACAAATGCAAATACGTGATTGGATTTATTGTTCTATTAAAAATGTAATGTTTTTCATTTTGTCAAAACAAGGTTATGCATTTTTGTAGTATAATCTATAAAATTAATGTGTATTAACTAATACTAAATATTTCATATTGATCGGAAAGAGCATTTACTACAACCTATAAAGTAACCTAGTGCATTCATTACAAACTAACTCTAGCAAATTTGTAGACCAATTATCACATTTACCTGTGCATATCGGTCAACGACTCCCTCCCCGAGGTTAAGTCCTGTGCCCGCGGTGCAATTCTCTCCCAGCTGTTGTTGCGACTCCACGATCCTCAGGAACCTAGTCACCACGTCCACCATGGGCCCGACGGACTCCGGGGGAACACTGGGTTCTAGGAGGTCCTCGGCGTCGTCCTTCGGATGATGTCTGGAGTCCTCCCCCTGGAGTCCTAGAATGACTCCCTCGGTAGCTTCCGGAGGATCCCATGTAGTTCCTAGGGTAACGAACTCCAAGTGACTCAACCCCAAGTGGTTCGCTCTGGTCAAATGACTCCGAGAACGTATATGCCTGATGTTAACCATCTCCCCGCGTGCCAACCCCCATAGTAACAATGGGGTCAATATGGACAAAATCATTGTGATTACGTCATAGTAGTCAACGTTACATTTTACACTTTGATCCCAGAGATTACACAATCGCGTAACACTGGAGAAAAGCTTCGTCAGAACTCCGTGCTCTATCGGTATAAGCGATCACCACTTCATGGCGCGTCGTCAGCACACTTTTAAACAGCACACTTTGTATCTTGGAAAATCTTTATCTAGTCAACAACACATTTATTTATTACATAATTAATACCTCACGCTTTATATAACTAAAAATAGTAATTTATACATTCGTAAACTATATATATTTCACTCGAAATACTTTTCCATTTCCTCACGATCACTCATCATCGCACTTCTTTTTTGTACAACCAAAACTAAGTTTGTTATATCCTGATATGTCTTAGTGATAACAAGTTTTACTACGTACTCAGTACGTTTATCCGACACACTCTCTCACCGGATAACGCGGACACACTAAACTTCCCTCGCCGTCCTACAGATCGTAGCACCAACCCTCCTAGCCACCCCCTCCCAACACCCACCCTGGCGCACGCACAAGCACACGCACTACACTCCATTCAATAACATCTCTAATTAATGAATACTTGGTGCATTATATTTCTCCGGTTAAAATGCACTTTAAGATCCAACAAGGATGAGTCTTTGTGAAAAACATCTGGAGTAAAAGCCTTCAGAGGCGTTATTGAAATACCCGTCCTAAGAAGGAATACTTGAGAATCTATTTGGGTTATGAAATTCCTTCATTTGAATACTTTTCTTTTATGAAGTAGTTTTGATGAATTTTATACATTTTCTTAGTTAGAATTAAACAATGTCATTATCGAAACATCTATGTAAATAACGCAACATTATAAAAAAAAATAATGTACAGAATTCGCACCCATGTTCAAATATAATGTTTAATTAATGTATTTACATTTACATTATGTTGAGATTTCATATTTATAATTTTTCTTTGTGATAAAAAAATCTAATTCCTTGCTAAAGCAAGAAACGAAAAAATAAGTTGAGCTTTCAAAGGAAGTACGAAGTATTGTTCTGCATGTGGTATAGAAGACGGTTATAAGGAATAAAATACATCCATTGAAATGGATTTGCTGAACTGAAGGCTTTGAAATACACTTGCTTGCCGGTTATTCAACGAAAGAGACTTGCTTCTGATAAAATATGTCAGATGAAAAATGATTTGTGTAAGATTTAAATACAGGTTATTTTGTATGGTTTCAGTTTATTAACGCCATTTTCCATTTTTATAATCCTTGCAACCTTCTTGCAGTTCATTTAATTTGGTAACTAACTGTTTAAAAGAAACTAGATATTACCCACGGGCTTCAGCCCGTTTGAATTCATATTCATTAATAAGTATCGGTTGGTTACGTTAAGCTGAAATAAACTAAACAGAATACAGTAATACAAACAAATAATCACACCTGAATAAGGTAATAAATTGAAATAATAACAAACAAATAAGTACAGCTGAGGTATTTTTAACATTAGTTATTTGGAAAGTTCCCTATAGATAGGAATAACAACCTTAAAGGACAATCTATGAAATAATGGATAGTTTTGCGCAAGGTTTCTCGCCATGACGAACATTTTAAGTATATGGTTTATGGAGGTGTGACTTGTACTTTCTCAAAAGTTCATGAGTACTTCGGGATTTATAAATGGATTCGTGTTACTTGGTAATTGTTAATAATTTTCTTTTCATTTATGTAATGGCATTTAGGCTAAGTATGTGTATTGTATCAGTATTCAATTTCAACAACTATAAGTTAAAATCAATACAACTAAATGAATATTTTGCCTCAACTAGCTTAGGACATGCTTAATGCAGCAGACTGATTATAATTAGCATAGTAGAGTTTGTTTCCCGCGGCTGATAGGGAATAACCTACATTGTTACATTTTAGCCACAGTCAAACAATTGACTTTGTCATAACGTTATACACGGACGGATTATGTACTTTTAGAATATTGTTTCATAACAGGTTTTCTCTCTGTTTCTGAACGACATGCTTTTAGGCGAGTTGTTATTTATTCACGAAGATTTTTGTGGGTTTTCTCTCGTCAAGTTCATTATACGGAGTATTTTTTTAATGGTTTTCACAAATAAATACTAGGGATCCCATTTGAACTATTTCAGTATACCCCAAATAAAAAAGTTTGTTGCCAAAAACAAATGCTCATTTTAGGTTTATATCAAGGTTTTTAAATGATTAAATGAAAAAAAATACAGAGGTCAACTGTATAGATTTAACTTTATTTTTTAGTTTTTTTTTAATTTTGAGTATTCTTTACCATATAGAGTACAGTTCTATTGATTTTATGTTTCATTATAACACATAGCTATTTTTTTCACGTATTACAATACCATTTACTCGTGTATAGATATTCAAAAAATAATAGGTCCAAAAGTCAACGATATTCAAGTTACTTGTAATTATTCATTCCTCTACATATTTTACGGTATATCATAAAATAATTAGGAGCATGTGTCATTATTTAGTTAAAATACATATATTTCTTTCAGAACTCATGAAATCTGTTATCAAATGGTATCTGTTGATTTAGGAAGCTGTAAGGCGAGGTAAATTGGTTTCTCTGGACATATTGCCAGGAAGACTAATTATTATTCTAATAAGTATTCCTCAATTAATTATAAATGAAAAGATTGAATCGTTTTGAAATATTTGAAAAGTTGAATTCCTAAGTACATTTGCTTACTTAACTTTAACTTTTTCCCAAGCCGGAAGTTTAATTTTCTCCAGCTTCTTCCCTGCATCAGCTGTAGTTGGGTGCTATTTCCCATGCTTGCGACTTAAACAATTTCAGACATATTTTCCGGTACGTCTTTCATTAGACCATGTTCAATTTAACATGGTAAGATTTCGCATTTAATGCAAAAAGTAACTTGTATGCAAAGTTGTGTGTTTAAAGAAAACACCCTGTACAACTCTATCAATAAACAAAATTTCTTTTACTTTAGTATAATCAGTCTATTACTAAACACTATTATTAAACAAATTAAATGGAGAAAATGTAGGTAGTTAAAAATTTTCCTATGGTATATATAGAAAGGTTACATTGCAAAGCAATAAATGAAATATTTATAATACAGTTACAAGGTCAACTAGAGGTTCTATTGTGCAATCGTAATGTATGAAATCGACACTTTAATATAAGCTTTCTTATGCTTCCTACCACTGCATGGAAATAATCACATTGCTTTACCTGTACACAGCACGCAAAACAGCTCATTGACGCTCTAGAGAAGGAATGGATGATTTTCACTCACTAAATCATCTGATTTCAAAGTTGTCTTTTCGACATCAAATAACTTCTTGATCAGCATTGTACATGTTATTAAATTTACAGAAAGTAAATGAAAGATACGTCTTATAACACTTAAAACATATATTTATGCTTATACTATTACTCAAAAGACGGTAAATATACAAAAAATATGGTAAGTGGTGATCGATTTCGATTGGACACTCCAATCATCATCAGACCCATTCGCCAATTGTTGGCATCCTTAAGAGTTGATTTCTTATTTATTTTGAGACCTCAAGTACTTAAAGTGAAAGTCAATTTAATCAAGTAAAAGGAATCTGTGGTTCAAGAGACTCAAAGTAAGCTTTTAAGCACTAAGTTTACTGTACACAGTTTCTTGATTTTGGTGAACCAAGGTGGGTCTGTTTTGGTGAATCTCCCTAGAGAAAAGAGGATATTACTGTATTGAGTTGTACATTTAGTTGTACTTGCTTAATGTTCGTATGGTTAAATATTATTACACATTAAAATTAATATACAGTAACAGAACATCAGTTCTGTATTAGTAAGTAGTTTGAATATAAATAAGTATTATTTACTATTACATGGTTTAATTTCTTCCAAAACTGTTAGGTTTATACTGTAACGGGATTTCAGTAATCTACCTATTCACTTCACCTCATGCTCCCTGTCCCACGAGGGACTGTTCTAATTTACTTTAGGTTTCATAATAACCTAGTATTTATGGATATATTTTATAAATATGAATTTATTCAGGTCGTGGATGTATTTTAATAATTTGGTGATTAATATTTAGTATTAAAATTTAATTCCCCTTTCCCATCGCAGCAAACCTAAGTACTTGATAAATCTAATGTTACTTAAATCGGGAAAAATATACTTGTTTATGGAAATATTTGATTTAAAACCCTTTTATACTTGATAGTATTCTCTTAGTCTGCAGGTTTACTGTGGTGGTTGTATTAGTATTTTGGTTCTTAACTTTGTGATTCGTTTACTCTCTGGATCATATGTATAGTTTGTTGTATATTCATTAGTAAGGTGATCTAGATAGAACCAACAATTCAACAATTAAATAACATGCATTGGTGTTTAGTTAAAACCTAGTTTTTATATATATATATTCAAACCCATTTGCTTGAAGGTCACTTATAAAATAAAAAAGTAGTATCTGCCGAATAACTGTCACGTGCATATACATTTCTCTACATCAGCGAAATTTGAAATCACTTTTTCGACTATTTGTTGTAGATTTTGACTAATAGCAAATCGCATAATTCATGTTTGAAATCTATCTATTACCTCAAATTTCACTTCAGTTTATTTTTAAGTAAAAACTATTTATAGTACAGCACCAAATCTTTATTATGAATATGGAATAAAAGTTACTATTAAGTTTTCCTATCAAGTTGTTGGATTTAAAAGTTTTTTTAAAGTTTATTATAAGTATGGGTTTTACGTTTTTCATTCTTGGACATTAGCCTACTAAAATATAAGATAACTGAAATGCAAATGCTATTCACTCTAAAGTGGTTGGTAAATTGAAATAGATTAGTAACATTAACTTTAATATACAAGTTAAAGTTAAGAGAATAATAAAGAGTACTAAATTCAAAGATAATAACCTTAACCTTGTTAGTAAACTTAAAAGCACGACTAGTCAAGACATACATGAAAATTAGACATCACTTCAGCGATTTCATCAACAGAATCAATTGAGGCTCCAACTTTCTTGATTGCAACCTTTATCAAGAAGACGACGAAAAGAAATGTTTCGACCTTCTTTATCGCTCAGCTTTTTACATAAAAAAAATCGTTGTATATAAATTTAATGGATGTTTCAACTTAGGAGAGAATGTACAATTTTGTATTATAAAAAATATTTCACTCTATCTACAACATTGCTCAAAGGCATCTCTCTATACGGCATGGTGAAAAAGATAATATCAAATTTAATGTTTTTATTATTCTTAGCGCAATTAAAACCACATGCTTTCATAA